ATTTATCTACCCAGGGCAGATATAGCCTCTATTAGCGTCATGCAGCTTCAACTGGTCTCATCTGTATATATCTATTTATCAAATACCCAGAGAAAGAGAATAAAAGCACCAGCTACATTATGGGGACACTCTAACAACTAACATGCATTATGCATAACGTGCACCATAACAACTGACTTGCATCATGAGACAGATATTAAAGAGCGAAAAAAACCAGCAAACATTCCTTAGACAGAAAATGAGAAAAATAATTGGATGTGAAAAAAATTGTGATTTCAATAATGATCTCCAGAGGTGTCAGTGTAGTTTATGACATAACAAGGTGATGCTTAAAGGAATATGAAATAATACTTAGTTATTCAGAAATAACTACTATCTTTAATCTTGAAGCCTCTCTATATGAGAGAGATTACAGATGGCACACTGTAAAAGAGAGTCCCACAAGCAAGTAAATTGGAGAAACACCATATAATATACACACCCTTCCAGAAGTTCATAACCACTTTTGCATATTATAGGTTCTGAGTTGTCTAGCAGTAAAGATAGGTGTTCAACTTTGTTTAACCTAGAATGTCCCAAACTTATTTGAACTTGGTATGCTTTTTTTTTTTTTAACATAAAGGGTGGTTTGTTTACTTGTTTTATTTTTCACATAAAATTATAAACATTTTGGAATGCTGGTGGTTTCTGGAGTTGACTTTGAGAAATATAGCTCTATACCGATCAAACATAAAACACAGGAATACTGACTATGCTTGCATTTAGTATTCTTGAGTTCTCATAACTTATTTTATAGTTTTTTTGCAAAGATAATGTTTATGCAAATATACTCTCCAGACTTGGGAAGTTAATGCTCTTGCCCCTTCATTCTTGGTCACATCACACTCTGAGCTTCGTGCCTAGCGCAGGACATTGTCTGACTGTAGTGTAACAGGCTGTCAGCCACGATAGTAGGGAGATCCGAAACCATTCTGGAAGGCATCGAAGTGAAACACTGTGGGTGATTTGAGGCATGATGGTTGCTGGGCCACCGGAACCTGTTGACTTTCAGCTCTAAACCTGCTCTTCCCTATTCTCCCTTGTAAAGCCAGAGCTGGGACTTTGTACATTTTATTTCTCTTTAGAAATAAAAAGTTGGAAATTTAGTCAACTCAGGTCCTCGTAGGTTTAGCCAATGGCAGGTGGGGGGTGGGGGTGTTGAGGATGCTGGAGGAAGACTGGAAGATGAGTGGAGTGGAGAAGGGTCGTATTTGTGCTTGTTTCCTTGCCCTCAGTGTCACCCCAGCAGTGACACGTCACTTGATGAGAGCATTTATCTCAGCAGCAGGTGTTCCCAGTTTCTATTTTTTTCTACACCCAGAGGTGGTTTTATTGCTCGTCCTTAATCACACAACACCTGACAGAGAGCGCCCCCCTCCTAAGAGATCTCTGATACCCTGCCCTGAAGGATTCACCCCATCCAGTGTCCTGTGGTTACCAGTCCAGCCTGGCAAAATTCCCCTCTTCGGAGATCCGGTTCCCAGCTTGTGGGGTCCCTTCTCCAAACCTGTAGATTCTGACGGTTTCAGCCTCTTCCCCAACCTTATCATCAGGTAAAGGAGAATGAGTTTCTTTTGTGAGGCCCTTGAGGACAGAACTAGAACTCACCGGTTGAAGTAACAGGTTCCAATCATTAGAGATGCCAAAAAACGGAATGGACTGCACTGAATTTCCTATCCATTAATTTAAACAGAAGAAGAATCTGCCACAAAATTAACATATTGACAGGACTTAAAGTATCAGGTGGGAGATGGGACTGGATGAGATACAAGGTTTTTTCCATTTGGTTGATTCTACAGTAAAATGTAACTATAACTACAATTACTGAGTAATTCCTCAGTTAGCAAGGAATTAACTCCCCAGTTCCTTACTTCTATTATTCTTAATGCTCATAAACAATGCTGTTGTTGGAAGAGGTCACAGAAAGGACGTGACTGCAGACCCTGAAAATGTCAGAGGCTTCTCACCCCCCCCCCCACCCTTGTCCTTGGAATGTATGTTCTGCCTACTGCTTCCACAGTGGGAGCCATTTTCAATGACACAGCCCTGGTAGAGTGAGGTATGTTGTTGAAACCATATGGACTTAATAGGTAACTAAACCCAGTTAAGTCCTCTATATAAACTTAGATTCAAGTTTATATAAACTTTACACTTACATAAAATTTATAAAGTTTATGTAAACTTTATATAAACTTAGATTCAAACTTAAGATTCAAGTGGGCAGGTACAGAGATCTACTCATCTTTTGAATGCCCAAGACAAGCCTCATATGTAAGTTTTCTCGCATATTAAACCTGCCACCTACCAACATGGAGTGGTCTGCCTCTTTCTTCTGTCTCGCCTTGCCCCCCATGAACATAGGTCAGTTTCAGATTTCACCTGGGAAATTCCCAAGTTTCTGAATCAATACCTATGTTATTAGATATTAGCATTTCCATTTTATAAATTAGAAAGGAGAATGGTAGCTGATGTAAGATCATTAACGGCCAGGATCACCCAGTTTTCAAGTGAAGGTAGTGAAGGCAGAATGTGGACACTCCTGAGTCCCGCCACCTGCTTCCTAAGAAGCCTCAAGCTGCACCACTCTGAAGCATTCTGTTACAGCAGTCTCAGGGTGCCTGAAGCCAGCGAATCATTGTTGAATCATTGTTTCATTTCAGCGTCAGCCCTGGTGGATTGCTTTGCTTGTTTATATGTTTTGCTGAATAAAGGAAGAGGAAAGGCATTGAGAAGTGATGAATGGAGAGTGATAACAACTTGACAATAGTTCCTTACTCATCAAACCCACCAGCCCTACCCCCCTGCCACGTGGACATGCTTGCTACCTCCGTCAGGAATGCTCTGTCTTTAGCTACTGGATAACTCCTATCCACCCTTTAAAGTATAGCCCAGACAATTCCAGACGCACTTTCGGGTTCTGTCCTTAAGCTAATGTACCTGCTTTAGAGGTATTACATAAGCTAGGGGTGAATTACATAGCTAACAGGTGAATCCACTCATGGAAGCATCATCCTAGGAAGGCAAAGGTAGATGAGAAAATCAGAAGAATGGAACCAATATCAGCGGCCAAGCTGGCTTCTCCACTGGTAAGGATTCTGGCATTACCTTGAAGTCTTCGTCCTTAGACAGAATTTCTGCACAACATGTTGCCTATTACTACTCCTGACACACAGTTTACTATTTCATCGTTGTTTTTCTATCTGGCTTTCCTCGAGTAATTCAGATTATTCATCTTTGTATTCCCAGGACCTAGCAAGATATAGAATAATAGTTAGTGTCCAAAACACATGTTCTTGAGGCAACAAGGGATACTGGAGAAGCCACAGGATTTCAAGTCAGTTCCTGGGCTGTGATCACGAGCAAGATTACATAATTTTTCTAAGTTCTGTTCTTCCCAGGGAGGAGAGTTTCAGGAAGGAAGTGGTCAGTGGTTTCCAGCACTAGCAGTGGGCAAGATTATCTAATTTTTCTAAGCCTAACTCTTCCAAGAGAACTGACGGCAGTTACTAACACTATGCAAAAGTCACCTGATAAAAAGTGTCCATTGAATTTAGCAGGAAGGTCCACCAGTGACCACTTTGAAACAAGTACCAATGGGGGTAGTAAGCATTGAAGCAGGTTGCAGTGAGCCAAATATTGCACTGGATATAGGGAAGAGGACTCGGAAACCACAGACAATGCTCAGGGTTATTTACTGTAAATATAAGGGATGGACAAGTTACAACTAGCTGTTGTTCAAAGGGCTTTGGTTTATTAGTTTATTAGGGGATGATTTGAGCATATTGTATTTAACTGCTTCAAGAAAACAGAAAATATAGTGACGTTAACAAGGGGAGGGAACAATCTAGAGCACAACCCCTGAGGAGGCTCCTAGGAAGAAAATAGCATGGGAACAAAAATGAACAGATTTATTGGAGACAGAAAGAGGGGCAACAACCTTTCAGTTTAGCAGAATACAGGGAAAAGGATAATGTGGATACAAACAAGGCAACAGACTTAGAGATGGTAAGGAAGTGAGGTAGCTCCAGTCTGGGCTTCTCCAAGCAATTGGTGGCAGAGCAGAGAGATCAAAGAGCACCAGCCCTGGAAATGGACTTTGTGGGTTTAAGTCCCAGAACACCTTCTAATTGTGTCACCTCTGGCAAGGTATTTAACATACTAATGCCTGATTTCCCCCATGATAATAACCATGCTCTTACTCTCCTGGATTGCTGTAAGGAGTTCATGACTTCTTATATACATACGGAGCCAACAGTGCAGACCTGCACTCTCCCGAAGTGTGAGCCACTCGCACTGTGTGAAGTAAGAATTGTGGGCTCTAAAGATTTCCACAGAGGAGACAGTTTGAAGGGAACTCTGCAGGGTACAAAAACGAAGGAGCCAGGCAAACATTGAAGGGTGGGAAGCAGTGGTGAAGAGTCAGTTTAGTTGGAAATCATGTACAACATGTCATTGGGGCAGTTCCCAAACCCCCTTCCCCACCTTCAGCCCAGGTGTTGACAGGGGGAAGGCAGAGAGCTAGATGGATCCAACAGACAGCGGTGATGGAAGAACCATGAAGGGATGGAGCTGAGAACCCTGAGGACAGGCTGCAGTGAAGGGGCCACGGAATCAAGCAAGATGTCTTGAGAAGTGAGGGGTCTCCACTGAAGGAGGCCAGAGAGTTGAGAACTTAAAGCGATGGAAATGTATTCTGTGCTTGTTGAAGAATTGTGGTAACCTGACAGCCCTAGTTCTTCTACAGGTGAGCTCAGGACAGCAAGGACTTGACCTTTCCCTGCAAGGGACTGGAAGACAGGGACAGGGCGGGGCGCATGCGGGAAGATAATGAGAATTGTGATGGGATGGGGCGGGGCTCCGGGGCGGGGCTACCGGGCGGTGGGGTGTGGCCCATCCAGTACATGGTCTAGTCCCCCACGGCGCGTGCAGGGGGCACTCGGGGCCTCTGCAGCTTAAGCAGCATGTGCCTGTGCTGTGCGGATGACGAAGCCATCCAAGTCAACCCCGTGAGTTTTCCAAGTCCCTAACCCTGCCTCGGCAGCCCCTACCCTGAGCCCTGCACTGGGATTACTGGGACACTTGGGATTACGGTCGCTTGTGATCGTGGCCAATGAGGGCTTGGGTGCTGAGGGTTGGGAATCCCGGGTGAAGTAGACAGACTAGATCCTGGACAGCAACAGACCCACCCAGGGTCTGTCTGCCCCAGAGGTAGATGGGGCTTACAGAGGTTGGGGGGCAGTTTAAGTTTCCCAATATTGGGAAAGACAGGAAGGTGACTGCTTCTGGGTCTTGGGGTTGAACAACTGAATCAAACTGAAGGCGGGGGGGGGGGGATTTAAGGTACAATTTAGAAATTGCGGGAAGCTGTGGGAACCCTACAAACCAAACAGCCAAGATCCCTGTGTCTCAGAAAACCATACCACTTGCTGGGGTTCCTCAATCTCCCCAACCACCAGCAGGAACGTAATTATTTGATTTCTTGTACACCTTTTCCTTTCATGATAAAGCTCATTGCTCTACATGGTTCCTGTAATGTGGTTCAAGCCTGGTTCTTTTTTCTCAAACAATTGCCATCCTTCCCCCTGACTTTTACCTTAATGTTCTCATTCTCTCCTGCCTCCTGTAGTTGAGAAAATATGCATATATTACATAAATAAAAAACAGTAGCATAGGCTTCCTATTACAATAACTGGTATTTCTGTTTGCTCATGGTTTTTTATGGTTTGTTTTGTTTTAATTTAATTTTACATATTATGTAGGAAGGGCCAAGATGGCAACATCCTTCAGAGGTCACTGCAAGGCAGGTAATGTTTAAATAAATAAATCTGGGTATTTCAAAATTGTAACTTCGTCTTTTTTATGTGTCGTGGTCTCTATATGATAGAACTTTTATTAGCTAGACACTTCTGTGTTATCTTTCATGGAAACCTGGGATCTTGTGACTACTATTAGAATAATGTGACTACAATTAAATGCTTTATATTCTTATTTTTTAAGGTAATAGGAATTGAATGGCTAGATCATAGAGAAAGCAATTTTTTCATAGTTATGAAGTAATACCACATAGTTTTCAAAGCAATTATACCAACTGCACTCCCCTGGAAGTGGATAAAAGTTTCTTTCATTCATATACTCTACACCCTAATACTCCATTATCTTCAAAGCATTCTAGTTTGAACCCTTAGGTCTCTTCCACTTATAGTTGCCATATAATAGGGACATAAAAATCTCTGCTTGACATATGCAGCATTTAAGGGAACTAAAGATTGTGCACAAATTTTGTTTTCTTATTTCTACAAAGAAAATTCCTTTGGGGCTTTTAATTAACATTATTTTTAAAATAAAAGTAAACATATATATCTATGAGCCTTAGATCCCACAGTTGGTGAAGTGGGAAGCAAGAGTAAATAGTCTCATTAGAAAACTCTAGAGACGCTCCAATGTGTTTTCTTCATCTATGACCACATATTTGAAGAAAGATTTTTCCTACTTTTCTGTGGCTATGTAAACCATATCCACTGATTGTGTTTATCTTTTTTTATTGACACTAACCAAAAATATAATCAGCATGTTAAATTTTTATGTTTTAAAAAGTATGATTTGTTTTCCTCTTAATTTTCCAAAAGTCCAGAGATAAACGTATTGAGAATATGAAAAACCTAAGGAAAGAGAAGAGGAGATTTACTAAACGGTTTGCAAGACCTGCTCCTCTTCCAGAACCAGGACTCCTAGTAAGTACAATATAGAGACTTCACTAAAATTAACAGGTCCTTAAATACAAAAGACACCCTCGTTTTTAATTTATGTATTACTCTATATTTTGTTTTTCCTCTTTCCTTTGAAAAATCTGTAATTGTAGTCTGGGAAATTACTTTAAAACTCCTCCAATCAAATTCTCATTTATTATTTAAATTTTTCTCTCTCTCTTTTTTTGTCTGATAAACTATACCTTATTGATGTTATGTGACAAGGTAGGTCTCTCTTCTTCAGAGAGTCAGAGATGGATTCCAGGCCAGGAGATTCTCAATGTGTTGGCAAATGAGTTAAGGCAAGGACTCCCTAGCAGCTGAGGGCTCCTCTCTTCCTCTTGTGCTCTCTCTAGGTTTGGGGACTCCTGCTCTTTAGCGGGCACGTGGACCATAAAGTCCACCACCCACATGGCTATAGCCAATTCATTGTTATACCCGGAAATGAGCTTGACAAAGTGCTCATTGAGAGTAATGCCAGCCTCAGTATCAAAGATGGAAGAGTGAGTGTCACTGTTAAAGTTGCAGGAGACAACCTGGTCAGTATAGCCCAGAGTTTCATTGAGGGGACCCTCTGATGCCTGCTTCACCACCTTCTCCAGGGAGCTTTCTCCAGGCAGCAGATCAGATCCATAACTAACACACTGGGGGTGGAGACACGGAAGACCATGCCAGTGAGCTTCCCATTCAGCTCAGGAATGGCCTTGCCCATAGCCCTGGCAATACCAACAGAAGAAGGAATGATGTTCTGAGTAGCCCTTCGGCCATCATACTACAACTTCCCAGAGAGCTCATCCACAGTCTTTTAGATGGCAGTGATGGCATGGAATGTGGTCTTAAGTCTCTCCACAATGTCAAAGTTGTCATGGATGACCTTGGCCAAAGGGGCCAAGCAGTTATGATGCAGAAGGCATTGATGATAATCTTCAGGGAGTTGTCATACTTCTCATGTTTCACACCCATCACAAACATGGGAGCATTAGCAAAAGGGATAGGGATAATGACCTTCTTCTCTCCACCCTTCAAGTAAGCCCCAGCCTTCTCCATGGTGGTTGAAGACACCAGTGCACTCCACAACATATTCAGCAAGAACATCACCCCATTTGATGTCAGTGGGCTTTTGCTCCTGCAAGATAGAGATGGGCTTTCCACTGATGACATGATGGGTTTCTAGGTCTAGGTCTCAGCCTTGACTGTGACATTGGATTTGTCAGGGTAGAATCATACTGGAACATGCAGACCATGTAGTTGCGATCAATGAAAGAAAGGGTCATGAGTGGTGACAATATCCAGTTTTTCAGAGTTAAAAGCAGCCCTGATGACCAGGAACCCATTATGTCCATCCATTTACTTTAACCTTTGCCATTGTGTCTCAGGGACCTGGGTGGCACTGAACAAAAAGATGTGGCTGGGTTTTGAATGGGGAGGAGGGCAGAGCCTATTTTTTTTCTTTTTTTTTTTTTTAAGATTTTATTTATTTATTTGACAGAAAGAGAGCTCACAAGTAGACAGAGAGGCAGGCAGAGAGAGAGGAGGGGAAGCAGGCTCACTGCTGAGCAGAGAGCCCGAAGCGGGGCTCGATCCCAGGACCCTGGGATCATGACCTGAGCCGAAGGCAGAGGCTTTAACCCACTGAGCCACCCAGGTGCCCCGGGCAGAGCCTATTTAAATCTCCTTTCCAACAGTCTCCTGGAGATGATGTGGTTTCATGGAAAGAGCAAGATCTGAGGAAACCACATTATTCTGGTTTCCAGTTTTTGCTTTACCATATATGATCTTGACTGCCCAAAATCATTATTTGAATCTTTTGGATTATATTACTTGGAAAATAAATCTCTTGGCAAATAGTTATTCAGACTAGGCTTGATCACTTGCAACATCATAAAAGTCTACACCAATCGCAGCTTATTGCCTCTCTGCACATCTTTTTTTTTTTTTAATTTAAATTTTAGTGAACGTACAGTGCAATATTGTTTTCAGGAATAGAACTCAGGGTTTCTCTACTTACATACAACACCCAGTGCTCATCATAACAAGTGCCCTCTTTAATACCCATTACCCATCTAGCCTCTCCCATACATTCATCTGTTTTGTTTCTTATATTCCACATATGAGTGAAATCATATGGTATTTGTCTTTGACTAACTTATTTCGCTTAGCATAATACACTCTAGCTCCATCCACATCATTGCAAATAACAAGACTTTATCCTTTTTGAATACACACTCACACACACTCACACACACTCACACACACATATACCACATCTTCTTTATCCATTTCTCTCTTGAGGGACATTTGGGCTCTCTCCATATTTTGGCTATTGTTAATAATGCTACTGTGAACATCAGGGTGCATGTGCCCCTTTGAATCTATATTTTTATATCCTTTGGGTAAATACCTAATAGTGAAATTGATGGATTATAAGGTAGCTCTATTTTGAATTTTTTGAGGAACCTCCATACTGTTCTATAGAGTGGTTTTACCAGTTTGCATTCCCACCAACAGTCATCTTTGCATCTCTTTGGCATGGATTTAAAAGTGCTTCCAAATAACCTGTCATGTGGCCTCCATGATACTTTTATATATAGTGTTAATTATATTTCTTGTAGTCAAACATTAAATCCAATGGCCCTCCATTTTAAAGGCCTTCAGATATTTGAGGAAAACTATTATCTTCCTTCATATTCAGCTTTTCCTCAGGATGAAAATCCCCATTTTCCTCATCCATTCCTCTTTAACTTAGTAGTAAGTCCTGGCCTTATTTAGGCAATCTTCAGGATCAGAATTATATTTTATTATAAAAAGAGATTTGGAAAAAATTATATTTCCAGTAATTAAGATTTTTTTCTGTTGGTTTTGTTTTTGAAAGAAAATATTTTATAAGCACAATTAATGAATAGCTATGGCAGGTAGGAATTGTTAACTTTAGCTCCTTATCAGAGAAACTCAACTTTAGTGGCTTAACCAAATAGAAGTATATTTTTTCTCCAAAGAAAAGCTTCTGACCTAGACCTAAAGCTGACGTGATGGTTCCAAAAATCACTAAAATTGTTCCAGGTTCCCTCCATCGTTATGATCTTTTCAAACTTTTCACATGACTTTCATCCTCATGGTCTCAAAAGGCTTCTACAATAGTAGATGTGTCTACATTCCAATAGAAAACAGTACAGAATTGGGGCACTTGGGTGGCTCAGTTGGTTAAGCCTCTGCCTTCAGCTCTGGTCATGATCTCAGGGTCCTGGGATCAAGCCCCATATCGGGCTTCCTGCCCAGAGGGGAGCCTGCTTTCCCCTTCTCTCTGTCTGCCTCTCTTCCTAATTGTAATCCCTCCTGCTGTCAAATAAATTAAAAAAAAAAAAAAGAAAACAGTACAGAACTAAGGACAAAAAGTATATGCCAGCAGCTAAGTCAACTCCCGTTTGATCAGGAAAAGAGCCTCCTTCATATATGTATATATGAAATAGATACATAAAATATATATATAAATAAAGTCTTGGTTGTGGTAATGGTTTCATGTTGTACATGTGCCAAAATATTTTAAAATGTGTACTTTATTTTTATTGTTTTAAAGATTTTATTTATTTCTTTGAGAGAGAGAGAGAGAGTAAGTGGGGAGGGAGAGAGGGAGAAGCAGGCTCCCTGCTGAGCAAGGAGCATGGGGCCCTGGGATCGTGACCTGAGGCGAAGGTGGAAGTGTAACTGGCTGAGACACCCAGGCGCCCCTAAAATGTGCACGTTGAATTTGCACAATTTATTGTATGTCAACTGTACTTCAATAAAACAGACAATATATATGTATTTATATGTTACATTGGGTTTACTCTGAGTTGTATAATTCTATTAGTTTTGACAAAGCATAATTTCCATGACAGTAACAAACAGAATAGTTTCACTGCCACAAACATCCTATGTGTTCTACCTATTCATCCCTCCTTCTTTCCTCCTCACCTGCCCCAAGCCACTAGCAATCACTGAATTTTTTTTTAAAGATTTTATTTATTTATTTGAGAGAGCGCGAGCAAGCATGAGCGAGCATGTGCACAAGCGGGGGTGGGGGGCGGTGTGCAAAGGGAGAAGCAGACTCCCTGCTGAGCAGGGAGCCTGCCCTGGGGCTCTATCCCAGGACCTGGAGATCATGACCTGAGCTGAAGGCAGACCCTTAGCCAACTGAGCCACCCAGGTGCAACCCCCCCCCCTTTTTTTTGGCAATCACTTAACTTTTTACTGTCTCTATAGTTTTGCCTTTTCCAGAATGTCATATAGTTGGAATCTTACAGGATGTAACCTTTCAGATTGGCTTCTTTCACTCAGCAACATGCATTTCATGGCTTGATAACCCATTTCTATTTATCATTGAATAATATTCCATTGTATGGATGTACCACAGTTTATTCATGTACCTATTGAAAGACACCATCGTTGGTTCCAATTTTTAGTAATCATGAATTAAGCTGCTATAAATATTGGTGCACAGGTTTTTGCATGAACATAAATTTACAAATAATTTGGGTAAATTAAATACAATCATTGGATAATATGGTAAAACTATGTTGAGTTTTATAAGAAACTGGAAAATTGTCTTCCAAAGTAGCTGTATAATTTTAGATCCCCACCAACAATGAATGAGAGTTCCTGTTGTTCCTCCTCCTTGCTAACCTTTGATATGATCAGTGTTTTGGATTTTAGCCATTTTGACAGGTGTGTAGTGATAACTCATTGTTTTCATTTGCAATTCCCTATTAACATATACTATTGAAAATATTTTCATATGTTCATCTGTTCTCTGTATAACTTCTTTGGCACAGTGTCTGTTTCAATATTTTGCCCACTTTTTAATTGAAGTCACTTTCTCATGAGTTTTAACAGCCATTTGTATATTTTGTATACCAGTTCTTTATAAGATATGCATTTTTGTAAATATTTTCCCCTAGTCTCTGCCTTTTTTAATTCTTCTAAACGTGTCTTTCCCAGAGTAGAGGTTTTTTATTTTAATTAAG